GTCTGTCTTGGTGAAGATAGAGTTGAGTCAAAGCTCTTGATTTACCAGTTGATCTGCTTTCCTACTTATGGTTACGAGCGCTGTAGGAATGAGATGAGATGAGGTTGTGGATACAAATGTCTGAAATGAGTTTCCTCCACTGCTGCTTCTCCATGTCAAGAGGAATCAATCAGTTGAGGTTTAGGATGCCCTCTGGGCACGTCCCACTGGGAGGAGACCCAGAAGAAGACCCAGAACATGCTGGCTGGTCTCAGCCATTTAATCAGATGAGTTGGTGAAGTGGCTGTGGATGCTTCAGTCGAGAACTTCGAAACAGACACAAATATTTGTGTCTGTTTCGAAGACATACAATGTTTACTAACCACAGTAAACATTGTATGTCCATGTATGACCATGTATGCCTTGTATTGTAGCTTGTAGCTTGGCCTTTAAACAAGCCTGCAGCCAGCAGGACACATTTTCACTGACTTCACAGGCCGAGAAATCACAAGAACAAAGTCCAGCTGAAGATGTCAGGGTTCATATGTTGGAGATAAGCAGGAGGTCAGGAGGTCAGAACAGAAGCAAATGAAGACTACCAGATTGATGTGTGTTGACTCATGACCTAACTGCATTGTTCTATAATTAGGATCAATTGAAATTGGTCTACTTGACTTGAAATCTGTTTGTATGACTAGATTAAACAGACCTAATTTTCTGAAGTCATGTGATGTGAATATTTGCTTTAAAAATTAACCAAATTGAATTGTGACACTTGTTCATCTATCCATCATGCATCCATCATCTCTTGCTTATCCAAGATTGGCTTATGGGTATGATCCAGGATGATAACCTAGATATCAGAATCAGAATGCTTTTATTGATATTATACGGAAGCACAACGAAATTTGTTTCAGTACAGAACAAGGAAGACAGGGTGCATGTGCCCGCTCCCCGAAGGGGACCCACCCTTTATGTTCATCCCTCTACCGTGGAGAGGATTCCTCCAGAAAGTCTTCCAATTTTTCACGCACCAGTATTTTCACGAACCAGCGAAACACAAGGCAAACTGAACTCCCTAAAGTGGAATATTCCCACTAAACTCACCAGTGTATCAGCATCCAGGAAGACACATTTGTTGTACTGAGTCAGATTCCAGCAGTGGAGTTTAGTGAAGGTGACGCCAAGCTCAGGACGTCCCAGCATGGACAGATGGAGTTGGTCCTCGCTGTTCTTCACATCCACAGTGATGACTTCATCAAAGACATTCTCAAGAGCTTTTCTGCTCAAAAGGAGGTCAATTAGTCAGAAAGTAAATTGTAACTCATAACAAAGTACTATTTGAATTACTTGGTCTGTCTGGTTCAAATGTATATGTTTATTTTGTTCTTTAAGTTCTAAAAACACAATGTGTTACCACTCAGTGAGTAAACCTAGCTGCTTTGTTTCATATCCAAGGAACAAGACTAAAAAGGTTCATTGCAAAAAAAATGTTTCATTTCTTTAAAGGGATGATGTTATGTATTTTCAGGCACATAGTGCCTTTTTATAGCACAATCGAGCACAACCTTCAATTGTTCTAAAAATGATATATACATAAAAGAAATTTGATTTCATAATTTAACACCTTGATATTGGGCCTCTGTCTTTAAGAAACTCTTGCTCTTTCTGTTATGATGCCTTCAGGAAGTCACCGTAACGTCACTCCTCTATTAACCCTTTAATAATGTGGTATTTTTGTATTGAATCCTACGATAGGTTTGAGTTCATCTTAGACATTTACAGAATAATTATTGGAACTCAAAGTCAGAAAGAAATGAGTCCCCAACCTTGACTGGTCAGAGATGTTTGGGGTCACCATGACGACTATGCAGCGAGTTGTTCCATGCCGTCGCAAACTTCTGGCCACCACTGTTGCCCCCTGGCAGTAGGAGTCTGAGGTGGCCAGGGTAACAAAGGCCTCACCAGCTGCACACACAATGGAGACATAAGAATTAATAGTGCAAATATTGCAACGTTTAGCCATCAAATATATAAAAGAACAAAACTTTATGGATTGTTTGTTCTGAGTTTCTCTCTGTCGTTCTATTATGGACCAGCTGTAGCAGGTGTGTGGCTGCAGCTCCATAATCCTGGCCTGCAGCTTGATATGGAGGCATGTAACCTTATGTCTGAGGACAGTGTTAGATTTCACTTGGTTCCCTTTTTGATTTGAACCAGAAGAAGCAGAGAGTCTGTTCTCATTTCAAACAAACTACCCTGTCATATTAATAATTCAACATCACAGAGAGACTATCACAGTTGGAGCTAAAGAGCAGTGAGCAGAAAACTGCAGCAGCTTATCAAAGCATTTATTTTTATTTATTTGTGCATCTTGAAACATGCTGAGTCCACTAGCAGTAGGATATTTGGAGAATCTGACATTAAATCCATGATGGAATCCATAGATCCCATCATTTATATGAAAAGTAGCTTCCTACCTGACATTTCTTTTCGTCAGTCAGTACCAAATCCTGGAGGTTTACTTTTCCTCAGGGGAGATGAGGAGCAAACTACGCCTGCATGCTGCCAGTCGTCAGTGGTGACATCAGAACAGTCAACAGCGAGGGTACACCGGTGCACCAGCTGGATCTGGGACACTTCCTAAATCCTCACTGTGAGCATAAATCTGTGATGTGGAGTCACACCTCAGTCTGCTTTTAATGGGGGAGTAAATCAGGAAGCAGAGGCCTTGCTGCTTCTCTCCTCTGATGTGTTTGTCCAACTGGTCATTCAACTAGCAGAAAAGGGGGCTTGGCAACAAGGGTTGTGCAACAGCACAATCTCTTACTCTGCTGATAACCCACTCAGGAGAGCGTTGCTTTTCACTTTCCACATCAGCCATGTGTAAATAACCTATAACCATGAATCTCAAACATTCACTGCCTTGCGATAGGATTTACTTCTCTTGAACCTTTTCTCGTTTTATCTCATTAAAAATCCTAATTTTGTGGGAATCTTCCACCAGATTGCATAATAAAGCAACTGTTCATATCTTTCTTTGTCCTGGATTTTGACTAAGTCATTCTAACGCATGAATGTGCTTTGAGCTCAGCGATTCCTTTGAAGGGAATGGATTTGGATGGAAGCCAAAGCCCAGCCTCAGGTCTTCTGAAAACTCAAACACGGTTAACCCTAACCCATCCAGGAATGTCCTGGGTTTGGCTCCATCTGCCTTCTTCTCAAACTGAGCAGCTTCTCTGTTCCTTCTGAAGAAAAGCATTTCCACAGCATGATTCTGCTTTCTTTATGGTTCACAGTGGGGGTGGTGTGTTAAGACCATTGTCAGTTTTCTGTACACAGTTCTTCAGATACAGATCGAAATCACTTTCCACATAAGGACAATTACTTATTGACAACCCTATGTACCCTCTTATTGCACTGTTAAGCAACAACTGAGAGTCTTCAGTCAGAGGCCTCTTCAGAACCACTATAATACAGACTGCTAAAGGAAATCCTTCTTTCTGCAGCCATCATCATCCGCAACAAATCTTTGAAGAAATTTGAATAAAATGGGTTAAGACATTTATTTTTCTTTGTGAGTTAATGTAGTATTTTTTAAATTGAATTTTCAAATTGAACAAAACCAATTAGGTTATTGTACAGTTTAAACAGCCAACATTGTCTGCTGTGAAGATCTTTGTTACCTTTGACCTTTCTCTGAAGATATAAATGCTCTTTGACCGAATAACGAGTATTTATAAATAGGACTTACTGTACACACCTTTAACAAACTGCAGCACATGTTTTAGCCTGATGACAGCTGTTGGCTTTCTGCCAACAGCTGTCTCAGTTTTTCAGACAGCAAAAACTCAAAGACAGTTTTGTAATTTAAATCTAGACAAGACAAGACTTCTTGTGAGTTCTTTAGTGTTACACTTAAATATTTCAGGTATTGTGGCTTTTTCCCTAGATTCTCTGTTGATTATGCTTCTGTCAGATTTAAATAAGGAAGCTACAAATAAACAGTCAGGAATAAAGGACAGATAGATTTCTGATAACTGGATAGGAAATAAAAGAGGAAAACAGCAAACTTTTTCATGCTTTATTTTCTTTTTTTTACACATTGGACCAGGAAAATATGGAAATCAAATTCTAGACTTTCAAGATGAGAACAAATCCTGTGTATTTAGTTTCATTCATCTGCTGAACTCTACCTGCTGAAGAATATCATCCCCAGAGCCTGATACTGTCACTACCATGGTGTTGAGAATAAATTATTCTGTTTTCCTTCTATCTATTGTAGCTAGTTGCTAAGCTAAAGCTAAGCTAAACCTAAAGGAAATAACATGTTAGGAAATGCAAATGAGAGCTGGGTTAAGGGATGACACAATAGGTAACGCCCTCTTTGGGGCGTAGCTCAGAGAGACAGAGGAAATGGAAACCTCTTGTGGGATGTCAATTTGACTGTTAGCTCTTAAAGTTAGCATGTCAGAATGGACCAGCTGTATTTTGGTATTAATACATGGAATTCATGAATTTAACTCACCGACTCTTCTTTAGCCTCATACATCGAGAACTCAGCATGGAGAACGGATAATTCTCCTCACATGGTTTACTAATGTTCCAACAAAGCCTTTACAAAACAACTGCAGCCATACTGTTAATAAAGACAGAATAATACAAATCCATTCCATATTTTTAAAAAATATTAGAGCAAAAAATAAATGTTTTTTTTTGTATTATTTTCCTTCTACTTCACAGAAATGTATTACTTTGTGATGATCTATCACTCCCAGAAAAATAAATGAAGGTTTGCTGTAATGTGACAAAATATGAAAATGTCCATGTTACGCTGCAGGACACTGTAAAAAGATATCACAAAATTACTGGCTAGCCCTTAAATATATTTTTTATTATTTTGGCAGTAAAACATTGAGATGATCCAAAGTTTCATTGTGGCTAAAACCCACAGATCATCTCATCAAACAACTGGGGGCATTTCTGAGCTTGTACTAACAGAAGTAAACAACACCAAAATAGTGTACAATAACACTTTATTAAAAACATGTACACACCAGAAATCATATGACAAATCATGCATTTAGTATTCCAGTAACAGACCTGCACAATGTCAATGTAGGTAAAACAGACATAAGTTTAAAATAACAAAACACATTTCAAACTGATGGTAGAAGCTGACAGAACAAGTCATAGAACTCCAATGTAAAGGAGTGGATTATTTACAGCACATAGAGATGCAGCTTGTTTTTGTATTTCACAATGAAGACGTTCTTTAACAACTCGTCCTGGGCTATCAAATTAAAAGGCGTCAAACACAGATAACAGCAACTGCTCAACGGAAAGAAAAGTGATGAGATTCAACAAAGAAGCAGAATCTCAGCGTGCGTCGATGTTTTATATGAATCAGCAGAACCAAAATGGACTAAGCTAAAGCTTATATCTTATATCAAAGGCATAATAAACAGATATCCAACTGTGAGATAAAAAAACATCATTTTTTAGGTATCAGTACTTAATTTTTCAACTAAAAAACAAGAAAACAATCCACTAAAAATGGCCTTTAGCATTATCTCTTTGTTGCAGCTAAGATGTTACTAGCTAACTGGCTGCTAGTTAGTCTAGCCATTAACATGTTAGCAGCTAGTTAGCTGCTTAACCAAGTTAGCTTAACCAAGCAGCTACTCTATGTGTCTAGCTTGGTGTGTTTAAAATCCATCAGGAAACAGTATAAACGGTTTAGAAAAGAAAAACTAAACTAAACAGCATTAGAAATAGGACTAGTAATCTCAAACAGTTCAGAAGTAATTAACTGCTACAGCTAGGAAATAAAGCAGTAGCATCTTGTCATAACAAGAAAGTTTATTGCCATTTAGATGCAAGGTTGTAACAATGAAACAACACTTTGAGGAATAACACTTATTTCTCATTATAACCAGAAAGTTTCTTGTTTTAAGGAGATACTGCAGCTTTATTTATATTCCAGCTTTAGCAGCTAAATGCTTCCATAAAACAGTACAGAGCTCTGTTGCAGCTCTCTATGTTTTTCTAAAGGTCCCTCACACATATTTGCACTTTCATTCAGCCCTTGGTGACACGACAATCAGTTTACATTAAAGCTCCTTCAGCTGTTTAACAAATGATGACCAGTTCTTCTAGCAGCTCAGTGGCTAACTAGAAGATTCTGACCTGGACAGTGGCTGAGGTAACTTCTGTTTTTCTCATCTTTGGATTATTTGGGAGGTGAGATTAGATTCTCCACAGTAAACAGAAGCCGCCACAAGCGTCCTTTCCTGAGGGGAACAATGTTTTTATGGAAGATACTGGAGGAAACAGATTTCCTGCTGTGACTCATTACATGAAACCAACAGTTTAGCAAACACGAAAAAGACAAAAATTAAGTTTACAAGAGTTACATGAAGTCAAAACACATCAACATAAAACCCTGAAATCATTACAAAAAATGACATTCTGACTGTTGCTGAAGCTCAGACTAAGATAAGCTATAAGCTGGCTGTCATTTTGTTCTGCATGTGTTGGTGGAACTTGTGGCTCTTTTCTGTACCAAAGACGTCTTAAGGCTCTTGGCTGAAAAGTTGGATCAAATTCTGGGTCAGGATCTAGTTGTTCCGGAGCAGGTTGCTAAAAACTGAAAAGGAAAAAGGAAAAAGAAATAAATAATCACAAAGGATACTCCTGACACCTACTGCTCACCAGTAGGTGTCAGGCTGCTCACACTCAAACTGTGTTTTCCATTTTACTCAATCCATATCGTTCACTAGATGGTGAGTTAGTTAGTTTCGTCCAGGTTCTTGCCATTGGTGTCAAGGCAGGGTTCTTTTTATAGATGGCATTATTAGTATTGTAACAGAACTTTGAAAAGTTCAAGTAGAACATACAAAAACAAAAAAAAGGCATAGATCTAATAACTGCCACACAAATACAATAATAAACCAGATTAGCGTCTGATAAAAAAAAAAAGCCTTTTAGGATATTCTGCTAATGCGGCCTTGTTATGCTAAAGAGCAAAAGTTGTTTTTGGATCAGCATGTCCCTTAAAGTGCAGTCTTTTCCTCAATAATAAGCAGAAAACTCCTCCCACAATGCATCTTATTTAACTACTTGAAATAAAAAAAAGTAATATCGAGTTTTTCTTATTGACTGTCTAATGCAATGTTTCCAAAGATAATCTCTGATTGGCTGATTAGGCCTCATTAGTTTAGGTTATATAAATGCTGATTCAAACTGACAAGACAAGATATGAATAAAAATCCATAAACATGTCTACTACAGTTGGTTTCTATAAAAGCAGCAAAAATCCTTGTACAAAATTTGGTTGTGGAGTGATCCAACATGGAGTCACTAAATGTCACACATTAGTGAGGAGATTTTTACTGTCAGCCCAACTACAAATGTCACAGACCACATCAACAGTTTGGATCAGAAGAACCTCCAGGAATGATCCGAAACTCTGACCTTCCATCAGTGTTGTTCTGTCCACTGACCAGTAGGGGTCCTCATATTGGAGGACCACCTTTGCTCCTCTTTGTTTGCAGGCCTGCTGTCTCACCTGGAACCACTTCCTCCTCCTCAGTGAACTGCAGGAAAGCTCCAGTGATCCAGTGCTGCATCAGTTTTTCCCCTGACTGGAAGCCAGCGGTTCAGAGTTGCTTTTGAACCAGAATAAATGGAACATTGACCAGCATATTTGAAGTGTATTGATGATTTTGATGATGGCCCTCATCAAAATGTAATGTTTGTTTCTGGTTTCTTAGTTGTTGTTGTTTTTATGACATTTTGTTTTTGCATTTTTAAAGCACTTTCTGAAATGTACTATAACAAATAAACTTGATTGATTGATATTGCATGTTAGTGTTTAAATGGGGAGTTTCCTTTGACTAATTTCTTTCCTATTTTTATGGCCAGTCAGGAAGTTTAGTAGTGTTTGTTTTTTGTTTAGATGAGTGATTTTGTTTTCTCAGCTATAATGGGTTGTATTTTTGTTGGTTTTGTCTTGGAAACCCAGAACAAGGTCACAAGGTAAAGATTGTCCTTTGTGACTCCCAGTCATGGAAATTTTCTTCTCAGATAGCTTCCTCTTTTGTTTCTTTACATAATTAATCACTAAAGGGTAGAATTTACAGTAGTTGTTAAAATAATCATAGATTATATGTAATTATTTGATTTTAAATAAATCTTTTTTTTAAATTTATGTTTAGTTTATTTCACAGGTCCTGCCTTGGCAAACCAAACAAAGAAGCTGGTTGCCTATATGTGCCAGGGCCATTTTTGCCCTTCAAAAACCATATTTTCCTAACTATGTGACTGACTTCATTAAATCAGGCTTGCCTCTGGCATAAAGCAGACTGGTTGCTTTATGAAATATAAACTTTTTATGAAGTATGACCTTCGACCTTCTGGATAAGGTGGGTGTGTTTGTGGATAGAAACCACTATGTGAACTCTAGAACCAACATTGGTCAAATCTACTCTATGTGATACATTAGAAGTTCGTGACAATGTGGGAATCCACAGTTACTCACGCTGGCTGTCTCCTGGGTTAGACTGACCTCCTCGCTGACCTTTCTCTGGATCTGCACCTGAACAAGTCAAACTCTGATTAGAACCAGGATGTCGCTGTGATCCAGTTCCCACCATGTGTGACTGTTCAGAAGAAACACCACTGACCTCCCTGCAGCTTGAAGCAGAGCTTCTTCTTCTGATAAGCAAAGTAACTGGACGCAGCTCCCACCAGAGCGACACCTACAGCACTAATGATTCCTGCAAGTGGTCCGGAACCTCCTGCAGCAGAGACAACACACACAAAATGTTTGGTTAAGATTACATTCATTTCAGAACAATTTGACATAATTTATTCATTTTTGCTTTAATAAGGACTGAAAAAACTGAGTTAGCATAATAAAGATTGTATTGACCTTCTTTATTTCATTGAAAAAGTGGCATAAAATAATGGTTTCACAACTAAACGTTTTCTTTTGGGGGTTTAATCTTGCAGTGACTCATGTTATCCACAAGAGGGAAGTAAATATAGTACTAAAAACAGGAAGTGGACAGTCCCAGGCTGCAGGGCATTGACTCGCTCATGAGTCATACGTGTCTTGTGATGATTCTTTGTGCTAAAAAAGGGAGTTGTCCCCACATGAAAAGCAGAGCGGATTCCAGCTTACAGAATGACTTACTGCTGAGGAACCTTCGGCATTTGCTCTCAGCATAAACTCCAGATTTCCCACACAAACAGAGCGCCTGAACGGGTTCTGTCCAATTCTGGATCTTGTGCAGAACTTGACTAAAGCTGCTCCCTCCCAGCTGCAGAATGGTGCCCTCTAATGTTAGCATGCATATCTTTTCCCATCTCCGTAGTAATAGGAAATCTGTAGTAATTGTTACTGCTACTTTGTCAACAAAAACCCTTAGAACAGGAAATTACTTTAACCTTGTTCCGTTTCCAGCCATTTCCAAGCATATTCACATTCCTTCACTTTGTTACATTCAGTCCGGATGGAAGGTTTCAGGATTTCATCTGCATCTCTGTGCAGTTATTTCCCAAATATCTGATAATTGTGGCATATAATTGTATTCAAACTCCCTTTAAATTTTTTTAATGTAATGACTTATTGCATGAATTGTAATTATTTTCTTATTTAATGGGAACACCGCAATTGCAAAATTGTGTTTTTTTAAACAAGGTTTTGTAATAGGAATACAGCTACTGAGAGCATCTATCAGGGAAGCAGCCAAGACAGACAGTTTGATCTTTTTAGCCTGAATATATTGCTTTGTGTGGTGAAAATCTTTCACCCTCAAAACAGTCTCTTCACAATGGAATAAGTTGGGAGTGCTATCATGCTGTGGGGATGCTTTTCTATGTCAGAATCAGGGGTGCCACCAGGAATCTTGGGCCCCGTGACAAAAAATGTGAATGGGTCCCCTCGTGCAGCTGTTGTTACAATTTTTTGAGTCTATTTGACCCAATTTTAAAGGCCTGCATCTGCCTTGCTTTCTTTGGTTCAATACTGATAGTTAGCACAATATGTACTGCTCATGAATTTAACATCCAACAGTCCACATCCAGAATGTAAGTAGGTTGCTTAAATTTTTTCTATTAGTTTTAGATACTGAAATGTCTCCCCATGAGCAACAGTCAAAAGCAACATGCAAAATACACATAAAGCAATCCAGACTTCTAAAAATGCTATGTAGTTCCATTTTATTCAAGCTGCAGTACATAACTTTAATTAAAAAAAAAAATGTGTTCTCTATATTTGTTAAAGCTGTCACCATGTCATAGCAGTTTATGAGACAGATAATCTATGAAAACAATCAATCTCCTCCACCTCCTTCCTGAATTACTATTACTGGTTAAAGTAATGCATCGTTCTGACCAAAACAACCAATCAGAACCAGTAGGCCACTCTTAGCACTGTCAATTAGCCTCATTCACTCACTGCTAAATGTGCTAATGGAGGAGAAACAGCTTATCATTACAAGAAACAGTTTATCTGCCGTCATTGGTAGCTATGCTAACTAAACTGAGCTTCACAGTTTGAATCTGCACAACTCTGTGCTATGCTAGCTGCAGCATGGCACAAATCAAGGTGGAGGAAGGATGAGAGCAACATGAGATTGTGATTGACAGCACTAAAACTCTCCTGCCTCTGACTGGTTGTTTCTAGCACTGGGAGAAAGCAGAGGAAATAGATTTTTCACAGATTACCTCTCATACCATACTGTCACAACATAATGACAGTTTTAAAAAATATGTGAAAAAAAATATTTAAAGTGACATACTGCAGCTTTAATTTCACTCAGGAGAGGACGGGTCAGGAGGGACCTGGGTTAGAGCTGCTGCTGACTGACTCATCTGTTGTTAAGTGGTAAAAGGTACAAGGGAACAAGTTAAATATATGAATATGTTGGTAATTTTTTTCCTTAATTCATTAAATGCTAGTGAATTGGAGGCAAACAGTAGTCTGTAGCTAAGCTAACTATGCTAAATGGTTGATAATCTCACACAGTCTACTCACCTCTCTCGGAGAAAAACTGGGTTATAAATTAACACTCTTGCATTTTTCTCTCTCCCTTTCTCTTTTTTTATTTGAAAACCTGATTTTATAACTTTTCTTAGCAGCATAGTAACTGCCACAGTCGTTCGTGTCTTCCACTTTCTGCAGCTCAACAGCGTCACGGTGAAGCTCCAACAGGAACAAACCATTTAACGCAG